GGCCACAGTGACAAAAATCCAAGGAATACATGACATACATATTATAGCCCGCATATATATCTCGAACCAATGGGAGCGAGAATATATGCCCGCTAGACTATCGAATAGCCTGCATTATATGCCCCGCAATAATCGGGAGCCATTCAAATCAAAGGAATTATGTCACCAATAAATAACGTTCGTCCCCGTTTTGACCACTTCCGTCCCAAAATCAAATGGAATTATGTCCACGATAATAAATATCCGCTCCCTGTATTTACACTTCCGTCCCCGTTTTACACTTCCGTCCCCGTTTTTACAATTGATAATAGTATTGCGACTGCGTGATCCGCCTCACCCTTGCCTACACAATGTACACGTCTCCCCGCGTACGCACACGTTCGGCGCGAACCAGTCTAGCGGTCGCGCAGGCCATAGCATAATTGCAAGCGCTAAGCATACATGCTCATTACATTTGTATCAAGCGAACACAGACATGCCGTCTAGACCAGGTTCAAAATGGACGGAAGTTATTTATGCGGCGAGACATTAATCCTTTGATTTTGGACGGAAGTGGTCAAAAAACGGTCGGCGACGGAAGTTATTTATATGATGGACATAATTCCTTTGATGTTGATTAGGCCTCTGATATAATATGCGGGCATATATTCGAATTTATATGCGGCATATTATTCCTCGCTTCCATTGAATCGAATATATATGCGGCCATAGTAATATGTAGGTATGTATTCTTAGATTATTTGTCCACTAGTGAGCCAACCATAACGCTTAGGTGCTGAGGTAGGGTACTATGCTCCCCGCGCGGGTACTGCCGGAACGATACCCTGGGCCTGGGGTTACGGTCCGGACTTATACCGGAACGTACCCTGGTAACTATATTATATGCCAGAGCCTCCTAGCCTACTCAACTAACGAGTCTTCAGGGACTCGCCTTATACGGGGGGGGCCCATCATTAACTCCCTAACCTAACCCGAACCTAAACCCTAAACCTACCATAAACCCTAACCCTAATCCTAACCCTAACATATATCAAATAGGACCAGGGTACGTTCTGGGTATACCGCGACTGTACTCCAGGGTTACGTTCCGGTAGCTACTGGGCGGACATAGACCCTATGAGCTCTAGTAGTAGGTACCTACGGACCGCTACGCATAGCCTACTCCACTACCGAGTCTAGGACTCGCCTACGCATACTCCCTAACCCTAACCCGACCCATAAGGACCTGATCCTAACCCTAACCCTAATCCTAACCCTACCATATCATAGTGACCGGGGTACGTTATGCGTTATACACGGACCGCTACCCAGGGTACGTTTCCGGCCAGTACCCTGGGGGACATATGGAGACCCTGATTGGCTCTAGTAGTAGTAAGTAGTACTAGCCCGGGTACGAGTTACGGCTGACTAACTGCAGGCGCAGCAACTGTTTACGCGGGCTATAGTTTCTTTAACCTGGAACCATATACGCGAGCTATATATGAGCTATATACTAATATAGCGCTATATAGAGAGCTATATATGAGCTATATATGAGCTATATACTATAGAGCTATAATATGACTTTGCAGAGTTTGATTTTGATCGAGCACTGTTATACTTACTATAGGCATCACATTCACATGAAACCAACTTCATCTTACTTAGAACAATCGAGTAAACACGTACACAATCCTGTTGTAAACTTTACAGGCAAATTTACAGGAAAGAAGTATCAAATGTTCCGCTTTTTGTGCTTAGCGCGCCACCTCTCGGAGATATTCGAAACTACTTAATTCCAAATACAGTCTTTGATACAATCCCGGAGGTACTTGGATCATGGGGCCGTATATAGAGATATACTTGAATTATATTTAGAGATTTTAGACGGAGGTGTGAGGCCGAAGCCTTGATCCCCTTACCCATATCTAAGGGTACTTGTGCTGTTAATAGGTACCCATCAGTGACGTATCCAGAAATTGATGAACATGGAGGCGAAATGAACCTGGCTGCGTATGCACGGCAGCACTACGGGGTCTGGGGGACCCCCGATATTTGTGAAATATTTAAGCCATTTTTCTGCAATGCGAGGCATACTGTGAGCCATATTCGCCTATATATTGATTTTTTTTCTGGGCCTGCAAACGGGGGGGGGGGGTACGCCGGCTCCGCTTTAATGCTGGATACGCCACTGCCCATGTCTAAGGGTTTTTTTTATGAAAATGGGACCCATGCGCATGTCTAGGATTTGGAACATCTCATTTTCCTACGGTACAAATGAAAGGTAAATAAGGACCCACATCTAAGGATTTTTTCGTGAAAATGAAATCCATGTCTGAGGATCTTTCTTGAAACGTTTACCCATCCCAGCGGCACATCCCGTATATACTTAATACGTGAGTGTATTCCCATCCGGGGATACAATATATCAGGAGTAAATGAAAAAAATAATGACAATATAAAAAATACCCGTTTGCGTTTGGCGTAACAACATTAATGCTTTTATTACCTGATTTCTACCCTAACAACATGAATTTTTGAACTTTAACAAGTTTTCCAAAAATCGCAATGGGATGGCTACATAGTTTAGCATCTGTAATACATTGACTACGTTATGTAAAACACCGAAAATATAAAATTATAACCTAGTAAAACCGCAGCCGCTACAGACACGGAGAAACGCACGAAACTCTAATACTATAAAAACTGGTGTCATCATCATACCATCTCCTGATACCATACTAGATAGAGCATGCAACAATGTAACAGAGTGACAGCTGAGCTTTATTATAACTAATGTGGCTACCAATGACGTTAACTTTATAGATTCTCTCTGGAGCCTGGAACGAAGAAGTCCTAATCATTATACTAGGTATGCAAATTGCAATCTACCTACATAAAACAATTAACCAGTCAGCTTGCGTTTTTCAGATTTCCCATGCATTCTACGGCTCGAAGTACCCATCTTAGACGGATACTCTTAGACTATACTCTATGAACTATACCTTAAGCATAGATACAATGACGCCTTTAGGGGAAACTAGCGGAACTAGAAAAGGGAGTTTTCCGTTTTCAATGTTCCATTACCGTATCTACACCCGGACCTGTACCGATTATATATATATATATATATAACTAGTACTGTACGTAGTTCTACATCAGTTTTTGTGTGAAAGCAAGTTGATATACAGTGACACAACAGTGGAAGTGTAATAAAGGGATAGTTTTTGTGAATGTGTGTTCATATTATTTTCAGTTTTTACTGACTCTGGCCCAAGTGCCTGTGGTTGTCTCGATAGATTCTGTTCGCTGCGTGATAACGATCTGCTATCGGTAACAAAATCCTCTAGACGTTTTCGCGTAGAGATGTAGATAGAGACAAACTGCACAGTGCTTTCATGAGCTTTTAGGCGTTCGTGTAGACTGTAGAGGAAACCGGCTCTACTTGCTACAGAATATGGCAATATTTCCCTGGAGCCACTGCTACATGAGCCTCGTTATCAATATTATAGCTTCTGCAGTATTAAGACACAGGTTACCTATATCGTAAGAAAAAATGCAATTAAAGAAACTATATAGTAACGAAGTCGGTGAGTTTTGCAGTCAAACTAATAGTTGCCACACGCTACAATTTTCACATGCTCGTCATACATCTACTACAGGGTACAGGTTTACTGATACCAATTATAGTTCGTTGGCTCGACAAGTGACCAGCATAGCCCATCCAGGGTCAAAATAGCCACCAAACTCTCTGATACCCTTTTAATTAGAAACGCTGTAATCGAATTAACACTATATATCACCGTTGGAAGTGGAACTGGAAGTTTTCTACAACCTACTTTAAACTAATAAAAATCTCTCGCTATCTTTATATTAAAACATTTTTAGTTATTATAGCTGGTAATGGGTAGGTCGGTGTAGCTATCGACAACAAGTAGTGAGCAGTACGTGTGCGCAATATGTAGCATAAAACTAGAGTGACAGCACAGTGATAGAAGAGAACAGCCATTCATTCAGCCATTCAGCCACAAAAATTCAACCCATTAAATTTAAATGCATCACAAATTTATTTTGCCACTAATAAAAACACTGTTAAATAACAACGTGTCGTGCTCACGAGTTGTATCACCATATTAAATAACGTAATTGCCAGTTTCTCGATGAGGGTGCGATTTATATAACAGGTGCATAGTCGTTTGGCAACAAAAATCCACCAAGTCATATATTAAAGGGACATACGAAACTTTTCCTCTGTAATTATTTTCTCTAAATAGAAGTAATAAACGTGCAGCCATATATAGTATCAGGAGCTAATAATGACAAATTTGTCATTATTAACTCCTGATAGTATCTGTATAGTAATATGTGTATGCATTACTAGCAATGCATAATACTAGGGACTAGCAATGCATAATACTAGGGCATGTGTCTATCATGTAAACCCTGGTAACGCTTACATAAATTACATAAACAGGTAGAAATTTTCCTCAAGATTGCATTCCATCACCTGTTACAATTAGCCGAAATTTTTACAGTTGATATACTTTATAAGCTGGATGGTAGAATACATTTCAATATAAATGCATTATTAAAGGACACTTTCATACTGGTGAGATGCCCCTCAAATTTTAATCGACGTCACATCCATATCAGGTCTTAGGTATGTATGCTCTACTGTTACTCTCTGACTACGTGATCACAGTCTGTATTACATATTTGCTAAATCACATGCTCACATTTACCTACACCATATTGAAACTTATTAAATAAGTTATATGCAGCATAGGTAGCAAGTGGCAAGCTCCTTATTTGGTACGTGACGCATGAGCTCTAAACATAGGAGGCATGATCGATAGTGTAAAACAGCACAAAGACATCAGTAGCTTCCGGGCACAGGACAAGATGTGAGGTACCAACACTTGTGACTATTTGATATCAAATAGCATCTTCAGGTCAGTCAAGGTCAACTTCTGACTTTGAATTTTGCCACTGCAATGTAAATGGGTATTTATTAGGAGTCTGGAACCATATACCTCTACATGCTATAATACGCTCGGTGTGTAAGTCATCAGATTTCATACACCAAACTGATGCAGATATCATAGGCACAATAGACCTTTGCATTGTTTACAGCTGGACCTCCAATGCGACCGACTGCAAGACCTGATTAGACTTTTAATAGAAATCATGCAACAACTATGCAGTTCTATTTAGACATTTTACTGTCATAGAAAAACTTAGAGAATGTAACATTGAAAAATGATAAACTATTCAAAATCGTATCACATCAATCTCTCTTGATAACCTTTAGAACTTTTTCTAGCACCTGGACGCTAAGAACTACATGCACACAAACATCCCAGTTAATTACAATAATGTGTCACACATGGAGCAATTAAACTTCTGGATCTTGAAATTCATGGCAATAGTAAATAATATGTATGTATAACGATTCCACTATGATCTTTAATCCCACATACCCTGTGAGAACATCATTGGCCAGGGACATCTTTCGCTGTTGCAGCTTCTGTATTTTCTCCTCTACGGTTCCAGCACAAACGAACCTGGCAAACAACATTGGTTAGACAAATGAGAACAGAACAAACAACATTTGCTATAATCACAATAGTGAACATTAGGTAATGCCTGCAGAATAAGCACTGCTCTCCAGTGATCTTACACAATCTACTAAAGTGGGAAGCAGTAGAGGAGGTAAGGAGAGGAATAGAAGGAAAGAAGCAGGAGAGGGAGAATGGGTGAGGGAGGAAAGGGGGAGAGAAGGTATTGGAAGAGAAGGTATTGGAGAAAGAGCAGGGGAGAGTAAATGGTTAAGGGTATGAGGTGTAACAACTTGATCGAACCCTATAAAGGAACTTACTTGTGAATTGTGACGTCTTTTAACTGGCCAACCCTGTAAACTCTATCACATGCCTGTGACTCTAGTGCTGGGTTCCTGTGAACATATTATACTGTATTTACATGTGAGTTTTGCTCTCGTCTAACCACAGCTTGACTTTCGATAGTAACATATCAGACTACGCCAATAACAAAACCCACTTGGTTAAACTGGTATTATATAAATCTAACATATCACAATACATTTATGTGTCGTATGCTAATATTTCTACGCATAACACGCTAAAATGTATGCGTGCACACAAATTTGCATTTATCACAATATGTATCAATTTATTTAGCCTCACCAATGCATGTCCATCATAAATAGATTATTTCCACCAATCAGATTCAAACCAACGCCACCTGCCTTCAGTGACAGCAACATTATCTGAAATTATAATGCCAGGTTTGAAAGAAGAACGATAATACCTTAATCTAAATACCATGCTATTATGCTCCACACTGTACGTTGTTATTACCTCGGGACCGCGCGGGTCGGTGTTGAACGACTCGACAAGGTCAGCGCGTTTTCGCGGCGGCACGTTGCCCTGGATGCTGCACGTGCGGTAGCCATGCTGTTCCAGATGCTCCTTCATCACGCGCAGCATGCTCGTCCACTGTGACACAATCACGCTGCAATGCACACCACGACGAGACACCCGCCAGGCACGCACAGAAAAAAAGTTAAATCAACGCTAGATTTATTAACCTCCACTTAATAATTATTCACGATCACTGGCCAAGATTTGACAAAATTAGAGTAATTGACTTTAAAATAACTGATAAATTTATCAACTTTAAATTGCTCGACTTTTAGCGATTAATCGAAATTTAAATGAATAAAATCATTTCCTCATTACAGTTATTTCATATTATTTCCACAATTTTGGCAGATGTGAACAGTATCAACACCCAAGAATGTTTCACATGTGCTGCCTTCTTAGTAAAGGAATGTGGCATCGTGGCGCCTGTCATCAACCGCTTGCCTAGTTGACCGCACAAGTTTTAGATGAATGACTGCAGCAAGAAGGAGAAGCAGGAGTGTGATGGCTGAAGGTGCGCGCATCTTCATAGCACGTGATTCATCGCCAGAGAGTAGCGGTGACACGTGCTCACACAAACCGCCATCCTGTTACATGAACGACGAGCGAACTTGGCCAGCAGAGGCCACCTGGTGGCGACCTACCTCTTCGCGGGTTGCCCGGGAGGCGACTGCTGCTTGATGTCTGCGAGCTGGGTGAGCACGGCAGCCACCTTGGTGCTGACGTAGCGCGGCAGGAACAGCGCTGCCCGGCTGCTGCTAGCGGTGGCGCCACCTGCAGGAGCGTCGGGTGGTGCGGCGACGCCGTCGATGTGAAGGTCCTTCATGTGTTCGGCGACGTCCATCTCGATGCCCTCGTTCTCGCTCGTCTCCGTGTCGATGCCCTGCAATGCAGAGAGACGACGCGCTCATTCACTCGTAGTGGCGTAGAGCCCCCCCTCTCACAGGGACATGAGCCAAAACAACTGAGCTAGACCAGTGACTAAGCCGAATTTGGAATCAATGCCCTTGCAATGTGTGATACCTGCACTTATACGAAGCGAAGAGCCAAGCTTTAAAAACCGCTGCCAAACACAGTGTTAACGTGCGTATTTACACAAACCCTCGACTATTCCCGATATCATTTACTCAAAATTCAATTCTTGCTCTATCAACCGCGAAATGTCGAAATGCGAAAATGCTAGATTAGGACTGTGTAAATTAACATCTGAGTTAGTGTACAGTTGCGGTGATCGTTTGGCACTGAAAAAGAATTGCTTCTAGTTTTTCACCAAAGAAAAGCATTTTAATTGTGCAGGACTCACAGTGTCTTCATAATCAACGTAATTTTTTATGTTTATTTAAATCTTTTTTATATAAAAGGTCTATAATCGTAAATTAGATGTGAGCACGGTTTCATAAAACACGTTCCACTAAATGGGAATATTTTAAGAAATCGTATAAAAACGTACATCCTTCAGGAGACTAAGGTGGTTGCAACACTGGCGCAGACGCAACAAAAGAACCAAGATGTATGTGCCGCTGGTCTTGTTGTCGGGTACTGCAGTAGTGCTGCCCCCTACCGAAAGTTTGAACAAACGTTGCAATTATCAAATTCAAATTGTACGGTAATGCGTGGTTACTAAATTCAGTTTTTAAGCGGCAGGATGGAAGAGCTCACATATTTTGCATTAACTCTAAAGATTTTAGGTCATTTAGAAATGACTGCGACCCAACGACTTCTAAAAGAACAACGCTTCCCTGGTTTGAATGACATCTAATTACCCACAGTTACACGGTAAAGATTGACATGCGCACCGCATTATTTAAACACTACCAACTAAACTACCCTACCTGATGTCTGACTGTATAGCTGGCTAGCTGAGACAAAGGGGTTTGGTGGCCTCACACCACCATGACTACTGGCATCACGATTTTCAGCTGCTTCTTCATGCTTCTTCAAGTAGTTCTCCATCGTCTGCCTGATAATCAAGCGATTATAAATACACTTGAAATTTGTGATTCAACATTTGTATGTACGGCACGATTTACTTTACACCTTCAAAAGTCTCGAAACATATAGTGTGTGTACTAATACTTTGTGCATCTAGATGCAAAATTGCACACAAGACACAGATGGTGTTGTAAGGGTAAAAGCATAGTAGAGCTAGTGACGCTAGTAACATAACCATAATCAAATGAGTAAGAAAACAGTTGCTGGCTCGCGTATCCCTGCTCACTTGGATTTGCTGAAGACCTGGTCATAAATGGCTTTCTCATCCTTGTTGAGGGTGACTTTGTGCAGGATAGCTGTCCTAGTGGGTAGACTCACCTGCATGATTATAAAACACATTAGAATCCCGACAAATACACCAGCTATATCCAACTATGAATAGAATTCCATGTATGGTGGTCAACCAAAAATATCTAGAAGTGAAGAGAATTCAACTAGGCTTTCATATTAAGTGACAGGAGCATGGTTATGAAATGAAGAAATTCTACAATCATATTTCTGGTATATTGTATACTCTATATCTTGATGGCCCCAAGGCACTACTTACGAGTGGTTCACCACATGTCCCCTTCTGGTCCTTGGTTCTACGTAGTAGAAGTGCTTTTACTAGTGTACTAAGACGCTTTGTGCTCTGAGCTGCAAATTCAAATAAGAAAATCATGAGGTGGTTTGCAATCGCTAGTCATTATTATTCCATCTACTCATTGTATAACAACAACTAATGAAAGATACTAAATTCTAGTGCAGCACCATAATGGTATTCCTAGTGGCAGCTCCGTTGGCTCCCAATTTGTTAAATATTGTGAAATACCAGTTAAACTTTCATCTTCAACATTTCACCAGCAAAACTACAGGTTTATGCTGGTGGAATCATGCTAAAAACCTTATAATTACGTTGAAATACTCCTAGTATTTGACCCATGCGCATTACCAACAGCTTCAACCATCATCACCCAGTCGCAGACCCAGTGCAGAAGCATGCTAATCTAATCCTCACCTCAGCTAAAAGGAAGTTGAACAACATGCATTCTTACCACTTTTGTTGTCCACCCATCTTTTCCAAACTTTATACTCATCAAAAGGTGAACATCGCAAGAACCTGCAACATCAAAAGCACCAGCAGTCCTCAGCATGGAGTGAATAACTAGGGTCAGCACCTTGCTAAATTCGTTCTTTCACTTGCTACTAACATTTAGAAGACGCACAGTAAGCTTGACATGCAGTGTGCGATAGTACAACGACGATAAACGCAACAACCACGTATGGCACGTGCTATGGCTGTACATGCAGCTTGCTCTGTATAGTCATGCCCCCTCGCCCCCTGCCAGGTTACCAACACTGCGCACGACAGACCTGAGCAGGGCGTACATGTCCAGCAGGTTATTCTGTATCGGTGTGCCTGTCACCACCCAGCGATGGGCCGCGCGCAGGCGACACGCCGCCATCGCCGACAGACTCTTGTGGTTCTTGATGCTGTGACCCTCGTCCAGCACGATGCGCTCCCACGCGACACGCAGTAAGGTCGGCTGAGTTGACGATGACCCCGTTGCTGCGGCCGCATCCGGCTGAGGTCAAGATGAAAATTAGGATGACGGACGATTAACACGCGAGGGTGAAAAGAACTGAGTAGTTGTACTAGTATAGAAAAGTACTAGTATCTGAGACTAGGGAATAGTCTTTTTAAATAAATGTTTTTTAATTCATTATTTATTTAACCAGTATATTCCGATAGGAGCCCTCAATCCATCTTGGGATGAATACCCGTGAACAAGATTATGAATGTAGGTAAGAAGAGCAGGAGTTTTGTCAACCCGCGTAATGGGCCTGTCTCTGCACAAGGCCTCATGCCAATACTATCCAATGCACTACACCAACACACGTGAAAGTTTATTGTCACATGACACTAGAAATACCCATATATCATATAGATCCTGTTCTAGTACAGTGGAGTTAGCTCCACCCATTGACCACATACGTGCTTATTTCTTAAGTAAATTCGAGAAGCCAAAGTTGTATAGCATTGCTGCACGGAGACAGGCCCGCTATACAAGTTGCGGTTTTGCAGACTCGGCTGCATTCGCTTCGCCTCTTTTCCAGCTAGCGTGCCGCGTACGTGAGACGGCACGCACTGTGAGCGACCCACCTCGTCCTGTGCGGGGTCGTCAGCGCTCTCCTGCTGACCGCGCCCCACCTCGCGGCCGACGATCGTGTACGTCGTCAGCACGACGTCGTGGCTCGCGATCATGCGCACGCTCTTCTCTCGGTTCGGCCCGTGGTACAGCAGCACCTGTCGCGAGTCAACACAACCATCAGCCCCGCCAACTGGCGACGTTCGAGCAACATCTGAGAAATCGTAATTTTCGTGCTGTGAGCACACGTGTGCAGGGGGTCAGCGAGCAGCAACAATTGTCCCGCGTGTGCGCGCACGGCAAAAAGTTGGCTAAACATTGCATCTGCTGTTAGCTGACATAAAGCATCCCAAGTAGATCGTGTCTGCGTGTTTGGAATCACTTTTGAAAGCCACTCTTGATGGCACCCAAACTGTACTATATATGCAGTACGGATATACCTGGCCTTGCAGCTGGTCATTAGATTGATCCGAGTGCATAACAGTGGGGATAAGTTTGTCTTCTTCAATGTGTAGATATGCGATGATATTATGTACCTAAGTGATTATGTAATATGTAATTACGTTAATATGTTGATATGTAAAATGAAGTTCTGCATTACAACCCCGTAAAGTTTAACTTCGGTGGAGCATATCAATGCCTCAACCAAGGCCATCAAAACATCCGTACCTTCAACAGTCCCCTATTGCAGTGCCGCTCTATCTCCTTATGCCACTGATGCACCAAAGATGCTGGGGCTATGATGAGAGTTCCACCACTCCTTACTAAACCCTTTGCTTCTGGAAAATTATTTAGTAAGAGAATGCGCTGTAGTTCATCTCGTGTTGGCCTTGGTCGCGTGGTTTTTGTCAATCTACAAAGCATTTTCCATGATGTGATGCTAAGCTGTCACGGGTCAACTCTGCTACCATTTTTTGGTGCTCATTCTGCGGCTGGCTAAACTGAAGCATGCCCTAACTATAAGACATAATCCCTGTGCTTGAGTAAAGTCAAGTACATTAACCAACATGACTAATGACAGCTGGACTACCGTCAAACACTTGGAACAACGAATGAAGTTTATACTATAAACCTGCTGCATGTGAATGTTACCAACCTAAACTACATAGATAAAAATGAAATGAGTGTCACTGTGTTACTGAAGTCTACACAATAATAGGTATATACATCAATAATTTAGAGTATTTGGTAACGGTTCTGATTAGTATCTGGCTATAACAGTATCTAGCCGGGATAAAACATAACAATTTGGGTGGCAAGCAAGAGTGACACCAGATGAATCACACATTGTAACTATCGATGTACTTGGTAACAACGTGCTGCTGATGCGCAATAATTATTACTAACTACTAACGAGGTCATCGTTAATCACGTCCTGCCGCTTCGCGTAGGACTATACTCGCACTCACTTGTCTTGTCGAACCACTCTGCTGTGGCAGCCTCCTCATCCTCCACCTTGGCTTGCTTCTGCTTCAGCACAAGCGATATCATCGTCAGAGTCTTACCTAGACCCATGTCATCAGCTGGAACATAGGATATACAGTGAGCGTATGTGTGCCACTGCTTCAAGATCGTCGAGAGTTTGCGATAGTCGCATTTCTCGCAGCTCGGAAGGAAACCACGTGCCGATAAATCTGCAGGGCTTACCTAGTATGCCACTAGGTGGCTGCTGTTTCTCACGCCAGGTCAGCCAGCTCAGGGCTTGCCTCTGGTGTACCATAAGTCTCACCTTGAGACCGGCTGGATCCTCCAGCTCATCTGTTTCAGCAGGGCACGTCTGTATTGATCTACATCCAAGCATAGGTACATAACATTAGTTGCATAGACATTGTGCCTGTCGCCAAATACTTAACAGATGTGAAAATTATATGTGAAGTTATAAGATGTGTGTGTAATCTGCCCACATGCTGTCTTCCTTTCCTTTAATTGTACTGGTAGGTATCTCAGGCACAGGTAGGTGTCTCAGTCATAGGTAGGTATGTCAAGAGCAGGTAGGAATTTCCTGCACACATGTTTCTCAGGTACAGTCGAGTATATCAGCCATAGGTAGGTATGTCAAGAGCAGGTAGGAATTTCCTGCACACATGTTTCTCAGGTACAGTCGAGTATATCAGCCATAGGTAGGTATGTCAAGAGCAGGTAGGAATTTCCTGCACACATGTTTCTCAGGTACAGTCGAGTATATCAGCCATAGGTAGGTATGTCAAGAGCGACATCGGCAGGCAGATCGTGACGAGCGGTGATGGTGATGTCCATGGTTACCCAGTCATAGACGATGGTCGATCGACAGC